AGTAGGTTTTTCCAAAGCGGTTTCAGATTTTTTTTTTAAGTTTATTTATTTATTTTTGAGACACGGGGGGGGGGGGGGCGTGCACAAATGGGGGAGGGGCAGGGACAGAGGGAGAGAGAGAGAGAGAGAGAGAGAGAGAGAATCCCAAGCAGCCTCTACTGTCAGAATCCACAAACCGTGAGATTATGACCTGAGCCGACACCAAGAGTCGGATGCTTAACCGACTTAACCGACTGAGCCGCCCAGGCTCTGTGTGTCGATGGAAGTTAGGCTAGCCTCAGAAATCGAGCTAGGAGGTATCTAGTCTTTCTCAGAAAGGTCTGTGTAGCTTGGGAATCGCTTGTTCTTTACGTGTTGGAAAAGATTCCCCAGGCAATCACGTTTCTCGGAAATCTGTTGCTATCGACTGGTCGGTGCAGTTTTTCTCATGCTTCTTGAGGCCATTCTGTTCACTTATACTTTCATCGGATTTTCAGATCTTAACTGTGTGTCTTATTGTTATATAATTCTGCATGTTTATATTCTTGTTCCTTTTCTGGGTTCTATTTGCCATGGATCTCTTTCTTTGTTGCTATTTTTTCCCACACGCCAGCAGTTGGATTATTGGTCAACTTGGAAGGTTTTCTGGTTTTTCAGCTTTGGCTTCCAAGACGCTCAGTTCTTCCCCCCAGGTTGCTTGTTATCATCCTTTAAAACTAAGGGAGTTGAAAGGTGCGTAGACCTTCACTCCCCTCACAATGACAAGATCGAAGGCTGGTGGTGTGCCCCTGGGAAGAGCTGTTGACATGTCCCGGGATCGTCCCCAGCAGTATCTGCAGGTTGATGGTGTCCCAAGCTCTCTGGCTGTGGCTGTGCTCCCTCTTTGAGCCCTCAGCTGTTTGGGAGATTTGTTTAAATTCTTGGTGGCCGGGGGGTCTCTGTGGCAGCCAGGGGGGCTGGCCCAGCCCAGCGTGAGGAGGGGCTCCGTCCGTGTCAGGTCCGTCCCGGGTCCCTCCCTTGTGAGCGCTGCGGGCCGTCCCCTGTCGGGGGAAGTGACAGGCACGGCCCAAGTTGCTGAGGGGTCCTTACCACGCCCTCTCCTTCGCGGCCAGTTTTGTCACCAAGGTGAAAAAAATGTGGTCCCGACACAAGCATTTTCTCGGCATTCTTGAGGTTTTATGAGGTCTGTTAGACACACGAACAAATGTTACAAAGACCTAACACGCACTTGCAAACAAGTGTGTGCTTTGTGTGACACGTGGTCTCTTGTAAGACAATTACCATTTCTAAAAAAATTTTGTTTTAACGTTAATTTTCGAGAGACAGACAGAGAGAGAGAGAGAGAGAGAGAGAACACGAGCACGGGAGGGGCAGAGAGAGAGGGAGACACGGAATCCAAAGCTGACTCCAGGCTCCGAGCTGTCAGCACAGAGCCTGACGCGGGGCTTGAACTCACGGACCGCAAGATCATGACCCGAGCCAGAGTCGGTCGCTTAACCGACTGAGCCCCGCAGGTGACCTGGCAAGACAATTATTTCGACCTTGCGACTGAAGACTGGGGTCTCCTTCATCCACCGGAAGCTGGCCAAAGCACGTGACCCCCTGTCCCCGAGGACGGGCTGTGGTAGGTCGTCTCCAGACTCCGGAGGGTCTGCCTGCGGGCCTGAAGCCTGTTCCTCAGAGCTGGGGGCCCCAGGACCTGGGCCCAGGGACTGTGTGCCCTTCCTGCTCCCTCTGCGGCGTGCACCCCCCAGCGGCCCGCCCGCCCGCGGCTCCTCCACGCTGTCTGACTCCCCGGATTCCTCAGTCTCCTTCCCGTCCGAAGGTTTGTCCTTCTGTGTGATCATCAGAGAGACCGATGCCGTTCATTCCTCGTCCCGTATGCAGGACAGTTTACGGGCTCTGTGACGTGTGTGGGCTGTGTGGTTGTGCATGTTGTATACACGTGTGCTGCACGCATGTGTGTATGTTGTGTGCATGCATGTGGCGTGTGCGTATGCTGTGTGTGTGTGTGTGTGTGTGTGTGTGTGTGCGGGTGCACACATGTGCACACAGGTCTCCATCCCGTGTCCACCAGTGGCAGGACTGGGGTCTGGTTTGGGTCCCTCCCTGGGGGCTGCTAGGGCCCCCCCAACTAGGGCCGCTGCAGGGAACCCCTGGGGGACTGCATCTGGGGTGTCCTCTGTCCTCCAGGCCCAGTGTCCACGGCTCCTGCTCGGCCCTGGGTCCGCATGAATCGAGGGGAGGTCCCCTGCCCTCTGAGGTCACGGGGATGTGCTGGGGACGGAACCTCAAGGGGCCCTTGGGATCCCCGCAGCCGTGAGGGCCGCTCAGGTTTCTGGTGGGCACGGGCTGGGGGTCCCGACCCGGAGGCCGAGGGGGCTGGCATGTGGCCAGAGGAGGTGGGCTCCCAGGTGGCTTCCCGTCCACGTGCACCAGCCACAGAGGTTCCCGCAGGGCCGGGTGGGGTGCGTTTCCGGGCTCCTCCCCCCCGCCGTCCGCGGGTGGTGGGGGGTTTGGGAGGAAGTCCGCGACAGGACAAGCAGCCAAATATTTTAAATGAAAACCTTTTTCCAAGTGATTCTGAAGTCAACGAAAACCAGCATAATACTTTCATTCCAGAAAATGGCTTTTACAAACCTTTTCACTTTCCCTCGTCCCGCTGAGGCCTCGGGAGTAGGAAGACGCAGGATCCACAAGGTGCCATGGTCGCCATGATCCGTCCCGGGAAGCAGTGTCTTCCCTAAACACAACAGCGTCCTGACGCTCCAAGCAGAGAAAACAAACGACGGAGAACCGGAGGCTGCGAGCCCAAGGTTAACATCGCGTTCTGGGGAGTGAGCGACAACAGACACCCCACACTTGGGGGGGCGCTCAGGAAGCGGGGGCGGGGGGGGACCCTTCCCGGGTGTCTGCACCCGTGTTCGCTGAGGTGACGGCCGCCCAAAGCCAGCGGACCTGCCAGGGCTCCCGAGGCCTGCCCTTTTCAGCCGGGACCTTCAACGAGTCCACGCACACCCCCCCGCTCCGGGTAGCCCCTCCGTTCGGCCTCCCCCATCCCGGAGGGGGGCCCCCAGAGCACAGGGAGCCCCGCCCTCCCCTCCTCCCTGTCCCTCAGCTGGCGGCACAGCTCCTGCTGGGTGGGACCCGCAGGGCAGCTACTGGGGACGCGGCTCGGGGCGCTTCCCCTTGGCCAGAAGGCGCCGAAGAAAGTCAGTTTGCTGGGAAGGGACCAAAGGTCCTACGTACGCATGTGCACACACACGTTTGTGTACACGTGCCCTACGTGCGCGCGCATCACACAGCACGTGCACGCACACGTGTGTCCACACGAGCGTGCTCACCTGCCCGTGCATTCACACGCACACACAACAGCACCAAGCACACACGCATGTATAGACACGTGCACATGTGGGCATGCACTCACACACGTGCACGCGCACTCTTAGACCAGAACTGAAACACACGCACACGCTCACACCGGGACACAGGGCACGCTCACACTAGAACACACGCGAAAGCTCACACCGGAACACACACGCACGCTCACGTGCATGTCCACAGCTCTCTCGCTCTTCCCACTGCCTCCCCCCCCCTCATCCTGCAGACACTTCCTCAAGGACTGGACAGGGTCGGGGGCCTCAGCACTACTGGGCAGCGCAGTGCCCCCCACCCACTGCTCCACTCAGCCAGGCGACCCGCCCCAGAAACCCTTCCAGTAACAGCGGCCTGGCCAGACAGATGGACAGACGGACCGGGCTCCTGGGGGCAGGACCAGCCTGGGACACGCAGGGTGGGGCCTTCAGGTGCTCGTGCGGGCCACACCGGGGTGTCAGAGAGGGGAGGAGGGCAGTGGCCCCCAGGGTGCTTGGGGACCCCTGGAGGGGAGGAGACCCAGGCCCAGCCCCTTAGGCCCATGACTCCCCAGGAGGAGAAGGTCAGCATTCTTTGCCAAGGCTGGAATTCTGACATCAGATTTTCCATGCTTGGCTGGAGGGTGGGGGTGGGGGAGCCGTTGCCGGGGAGGGAGGGAGAGAGGGAGGAAGGGAGGGAGGGGCGGGGCGGGGCTGGGCGGGTGGAGGCGGGAGCCTCCTCTGAAGGCCTGGCCTGCTTCTGGGCCCCCCACTGCCCACGCCCGCCCGTCCGCCTGGAGCGCCCTGGCCACGGGCCATCCTGAGACTTTCTCATCCCCGCTTGAGGCCTCGCTGAGTCACGTGGGGGCTGGGTTAGGGGCTCTAAAAATAGCCAGCGGCTGGGGCCAGGCTGGGAGTTATTATTAGGCTGGGACAGAGCCCCTCCTGGGCGGGCTCCCTTCTCTGAGGAGGAAGGGACGTGGTCAGGGGTGGTGGGGCCGCCTGGACACTCAGGCCCATCCCTCCCTGGGCCCAGAGGCCGGAGTCCCTGCGCCTGTGTTCCTCCCACCGGACACCCTTTCTCCTCGGCTCCCCGGGGCGCCCCACGGGGAGGCCCCTGGCCCTTTACACGGGTCAGAGCGCCCCCTGAAGAACAGGCTCATGTGGGGGTCAAGTGAAAATGATCCAGAATTTCAAGACAAGCAGGGGGTCCCTCTGAGCTTGGTGTCCTGTGGGACTGTCCAGCCCACGCCCCAGGAAGCTGGCCCCGCACCCCATCCCCAGAGGTCATTTTGGTCACCCGAGAAGAGAAGTCACAGCCTCGGAGCCTATAGGAGTTTGAGCCATCTCGGGGTGCAGGAGTTCCCCAAACGCCCGCGCCCGGAGTCTGTTTCCAGAGGAGAAACGGCCGTCAGGCCAGCACCTCTCCTGGTTACCGTGACCCATTCACATAGTGTCGTGGCCCTCGGGACAGTCCTCCTGCTGGGGAAGGAGCGAGCGGCCGCTGGGGGCTACCCCATGGGAGCCAAGCCCCGGCTAAGAAGCCCGTGCTCTGAGCCCCTCCCTCGGAATCTCTCCAGTGAACCCCTGCGCCCTGGGCGATGGGGGCGCTGACCCAAGGGCACGCCTGCAGGGTCCTCCACCCATCACAACCCCCTCCTCCCATCCAGCCCAGGACTTCCAACTCGGCCGGCACGGCCTCCAGCCTCACCCCAGAGCCCCAGCATCCTCCAGGGCCAGAGACCCCT